ATTTTCACGTTTAAATTTTCATTTTTCGTTAATCCGTTTACAAGATATAGCCTCCCAAAGTTGGRTGGTTTTGGGTGGTGTTTGTGTGTTATAGGTGTATGTTAGGTGGTATTTACACACAAACACCATATAAGTGTTRTTTKATAAAAGAATCACCCTGTATATGCATGTACTGCGTACAATGTATTATACATCACACAACCGGACATGCCCATATGCATTATGTATATGCACGTATATGATACATATACATATATATAGCCACGTATATAAGGTGGCTGCTAACGGCCATCGTCTGTTCGAGCGCTACCGGTAAATCGAAATTAATCACTGACAAAGCGCTAATGTTCGTTCGAGTGCTGTCGTCATTGGGTCGGCATCGAATGCACTGGCAGAGAATATACACGGTTCTCGGGTGATGAATAGTTTTCGTCTCCTCTCACACAACCATAATATTATATATATGTATATAKACACTCGGATAGCTGGTGTGGCCAGACGCACAAGCAAATGCAACGCGTATGAGCTGACCGATAAGGCTCAACTTTGGAGTAATGAAAATATTTTTGAAAAAAAATTTGTATGCTGTCTTTAGGATGTAATAAAATGTTAGAATTACAGCCCTATTAGTGACTATCACCATTATGGCTTTATACTCGATGTGTATAACTAGTAATTTGAGCCAGCAAATTTCGATTATATTATATGAATTGAAATTATTCCATTGACGTAACTATAGTGAGGTTTGAAAAGGCTAAAGCGCCCCCTACCCTCCCACAGGTAGTTAGTAAACCCAAAATATATCTGATATCTAAATATGTACACAACACGCGCATAATATTGATAACCTAATTTTTGATATATAGCTAGAGAATATATAATATAATATTAGTGGCTTGGTTGGTACGGTTGCTGCAATCAGTCACGCAACGTGATTGAGAATACGCATCGAATGCTTACATTAGTTCCTGGATGGGTGACTCCCCACTGTTCTTATAGTGGACAAATTTTTAGCTATCGTACCAACTGAACTAACCCCTAAAATAGCTAATGGTTATAGTTTCCGGGACAAATAAAAAAATATATAAATACCTATAAGTACACATATTATTTTATATATATATATATAATAACTATGAAAGTTGCATATTAAAAATCATGTTACCTAGTTACACCCATTAATTATTAAAAAAATAAAACTAATAATCGATTACTAATTAATTAAGTACYTATAATAACAGTATAACATACCATTATAGTAACGTACTTCAACAAACGTRAAATCAAATTATTACTCCAGTATTTTGATTTTTAGATTGAATATTCAAAATTTGATTTGATGTTCTCATAACATTAGTACATAACTATATAACTACAAAACTATACTAATTGTTGRTTTTYCATTTTTAAATTCGTTTGACGATTTGATAAAAGTGGTAAGGAAAGTGCGGTTGTCACAGCGTACGTCCAACAATRCGTTTCGTGACTTCTTACTACCTACAGGTGAATTGCGCCTTGCGCAGCTTGAAATCAAGTCTGTCACCGTCAATATTSATGACGCAACAGACACGTTCAATAATAATCAAATCGTATCAATCTTGGTGACAATATCATTAGTATTGTTGTGAATCAATTATTTTCGTAGTATGTATTATTGAATCATACTATCATTATGACACATTATTAACGATCATCGTCGATAGGTATTATATTTTTATTTAAAGGCATGTAATGAATAACGATATAATAATAATATAAAATGCATTTCATGAAGGTATGTAAATACTTTCGTCCGTCTGGTCATTTATTTTACATAATATTATTTTCATTGCACTCTTCTAAATAATAATATGTTAATTTTCAACCAAGCAGATTATACCTATAACTYTAGGCTATTAGCCTATTAGACACTAATAATGCGCAGAGACTGTATATGCGAACAGAATTTAAAAACAATTTTATCGTTATTATTCGCTCTCCTTTGTTCCGGAAAGTCATTCTTAATTTGTCTTTTACGGCGTGAATATTTGAAATAAGCTTAAAAAAAAATTAAAACGCTGAGATATTGCAGCTCTGAATTGTCACACAGAGTTCGCGTTCTTCAAAATTCGTCTGTGACTGTTGGAGTAATTGCAATAGTGTGTACATCTGTTGAATTTTCCACGTATATTATTATTTGTACGATTCTTATTAGAAAATTCGTCATTATTATTATATACCAGAACTACAGAAATAAGTTTTAAGAAATAAATCTTACTCTGGTACAAAATGTCTTAATTTTTCCACGTTCCCAAAGAACAGTTTGCACGCAATATGTAGTTTCTGATTTTAAATAAATCTCTTGGCTGAAAATTATCAAAGCACAAAATAATATRTCATAACCTGCGGATTGCCATATCATAAATAAATATAAATCTTTCTTTTACCATTTAAGTTTAAAATTCAACTACTTATCGTATAAAATGTACAAAGTTATGCAATGATAAAAAAAAGCATAGGCACTAAAGTAGTATTCTATTTTTAATAAATACAATAAAAATCACAATAGCAATAAATTGTCTCTGCACCGTTATAAATAAAAAAGTTTTACTTCCTACTTACCCACCTACCAACTAAAATGTATTATAAATTGAAATGATGATTTTTTCAAGCATAAAATCATATTAAATGTTCGCAAATATTTTTAATTTGTTTGTAAGATAAACTGCTTTGATGCAAAAACAGGTATATCCTACTTTTTATAACAAAATTAAAATATGTATAATAATATAACAAGCATGAAGTCTTACACGTTTAGGTAAATATTAATGCTCTATACATATTGCGTACACCTATTGTTTGTCTTGAGCTTATATAAACTCCTATTCATCGTAACTGAACGTAAGTCTTGTATAAAATGAAAAATATGCACAGAATACATTTTAATTCAAATTTCTACACACATTCATTGCACAGGCATTGAAGTTCTCATATCAATATTATTTTTTTAAGCAAATATTGACTAAATTTATTTATGAAAGGGTGACTGGAATATATATGTATATTATCATTTTACTATTGATTATGTAGTATGAGAAGCTAAATGAATATTGTAGTTGTTGTTGTTGACAATAGATCATTGGCAATATTTTCGAAAATTATATAAATTTGCAAAGAAGTATTTTTAATTTATTTTATTTTTATTTTTTTAAACTTAATTATTAATCCAACTGCACATTTTGTATAGTKAGCTCAATGCCGGGTTGCATAAACGGTCGATAAAAACAGTTCAATAAGATGTGATATCGGTTTGATAAACATCTTTATTGAATCCACAAAGTAGTGTTCGGTTGCACAAATAATTCCATTAAGTTCAATGGTTCGTTCGTTAACCGTGGTTATGTGGTTATTGATTACCAAATCACTAACAAAAAAGTGATAAGTCAATCGATGTTATCATTAAAACACACTGTTATCAGTTCAATAAAGTTATAGAGTTCTTTTTGATATTTATCGAACCAAAATCGGGTCTTCAAGTTATCGAACCGATAGCAACATATTTATCGGATCGATACGAGATAAAAATCGTTTATGCAACAGACAATATTCTAATCGATCCGATTTCTGTATTATCAAACCGATAACTTCTTATCGATCGTTTATGCAACCCGGCACAAGTGTTTCTAGAAATTTACTGTCAGAAATATTTGATGGAGAAGCCACAGACTGGCAGCACCATAGACCAAGAAATATAAAAATATTACACCATTCAAATAAAAAATGCGTGCGATATGGGCATTGGCGCAACTAGGGGGGCTTAGGGTGCTTAGCCCCCCATTTTTTCGATTATTTAAATTTTAATGATAATTTAAACATGGGATAGTAAGATAAATACTAAATAATATGAGTACATGATGCAGAGAGTTATTCAAAAGTAAATTGTATAAATATAAATTTATTAGGATCTAAGAGAAAAAGAACACAGCCAAATAAACTAAGTAAATACTGGTGAAAGTGAAGAGCATAGTTTAAATTATATTATGACATGCTATCGTGTCAAGTATTTTATTATTTTGGACACTGTAATGATGAATCTTAAAATGAGATTTTCAAAAAAAAGTATGAAGTTGGCTAATAGTGTGGATGGCTTTTTAATGTTTGACTATTCAAAAAGCCTTACATTTATAAACCATTATAAAGTAAGTTAATTAATTGTTTTTAAATTAAACAWTAATGAAAAACAATASTAATGCCAATTTATTTTTGTATAGAATTTATTAAATATCGATGTGGAAAGTTTAAAGGCAGAAATGATGGTTGCAAAAAATCTTAAAAAACAATCTACCGATGATAAAATAATGGCACTTGCAGGAATAGCTGRAATTGTATCAACTAACACTTTTCCAAACTTATATAAATTGTTGAACATAGCTTATACAATTCATATTAGTAGTGCTACATGTGAAAGAGCGTTCTCTGCTATGCGGCAGGTAAAAAAATTGGCTATGTTCAACAATGTTACAATACCGTTTTTCAAATTTAGCTTTATTAAGCATTGAAAGAGATTTAACTAATAACATAGACAGTGATACTGTCTTAGAACATTTTATAACTAATAATAAAAATAGACGGATAGATCTTAAKATGTAAATTACAAATTATAATCTATGAGATTATGGATTATGTCATATTTTATGTAAAACATACTTCATAGAAGTAGATACATGATTTTTAATAATATAGTATGGTAATAATATTTTATGATTGTTTTTAATTTCAATTAATAATTATTGTTCYGTGGCTGCGGCAATGGGGGGYATGAGGGRCGAAGCATTGACTAAATTTATTTGTAGGGCTTCAGCCCCCCCTAATATTTTAGACCTAGTTGCGCTAATGGATATGAGTATGTTTAATGTTAGTTCGTATCTAAAAATTTATGACTCAAATTTTATTGTTTTGTCGAGCGGAGTGGTGAGGTAGAGGATTTGTATATTTTATATGYATATATGCGACCGAAATACACCGTAAAAACAATTTTGTGGCGTAAAATAATGAACAGTGGACCACCTACACACTTGTTTCGTTGCATTATTCATAGAACATAATATTATAACTTACAAGATATCGTAAATTGTGCTCGTCCACAGCATTTTATATTATTTTCATTTTTTTAGATATGCATACGTGGTTGGAGTTCCAAATTTTAATAAGGGAATTGGATTAGATTTATACAAACATAATAATATATTGAGTGATCAATTTGACGCAAAACACTCATTATAATTGTCAAAAAACGTTTTTGAATACATATATTTAATTACTATACATAAATTTTTAAATTTTTAAAACAAAATTTTTGAAGAAAAAAAATCATATTTTTTATCGTTAAGAATTTATAAGTTTTTAATCTTTTTTATGATCACAACATTCTGAATTTCATACTCTCGAGAAAAATATTATTCAGAGTATTTCGATCTATTAAAATTGAATTTTGGAAATTTATAGTTTAATAACTTTGAATATTTAAAATTTTGATGAGCGCATAGTAGTGGTCCAAAATTTTCCGGTGTGTCCGATGTGAAAAAAGGAATTTAAAAATCACGRTTTCATGGTAAATGAAGTCAATTACAGTAAAAAATAGTTTSAAATAAAYATGAAAAATGTTGTTTTTAACAACTTCAAATTACGAAAAATACATATTTTTAAACATTATTAACGTTTTCGAAATTATGAATGTTGAATGGATCATCTGGTATATATTGCATATTATGTTGACGTATTATTATTATAAAGTATAAACAGTAAATAACAAATGCGTCGTGCGTGTAGAAATCGCAGTGTAATATATACGCAGCATTTCACGTGTAAAAGTCATAATAATAATAATAATAATAATAATATGATACATTATTGGAAATCCGATCATTGCTATAATATACAGTATATTTTGTATCATATATTATGTGTTAAGGTATTTCCCATTGAGTGTTCTTGTYCTTAAAAMGTTATTATTATGGACTTGTTTGATTATATATTATGATGTATTATATTATTTTACGGACGCACGACGTGAGACGTCGTTCGACAATAATATTACCATAATAATATCATCGTTCGGTGCAATAATGTGTGCAGTATACAATAATAATAAATTGTCGAGCGTTCCACAATATCGATACATACCGAAATCACCAAGACTATACCGACTGAAATAATATATATACAGATTCGATATCGGGCGTGGAAAATAAACCAGGGAAATTCTTTAGAATAAGTTTTCCTTTAGTGTGTATTTTTCCCTTTCTTTTTGGACCGGAAATTAAGTTATATCGTTATACCCTTCAGTCACGTCGTTTAAATAGTTTTTTTTTTTGCAGGGGTGGGGGAAACGAAGGAAAATAAATTACTGACAATAGTATATAGTTGTTTTCTCCCGACTAACGAACTCGATTACAAAAATGAGTACTTCATTCCTGTCTGCCGCTCTTTTCGATCGATAATAATTTAAGTAAAACTTATTGATTACCATTGAACATTCACACATTAAATATAATTATATCAAGTAAAATCTCTGATAGTCCTATCAGTTAGAACACGAAAAATTAATCTCACTATCAAACAGTCTCATTCAGGTTCATATTATCAGTAGTTATAATAGTTTAATCGTTTAATGCCTACTCAAGGCTTTATACCTACATCCAAAGGTTGGTTAGATGCTCACAGTTTTACAGTATGGTAATTTTAAACGAAAAAACCATTGCCCCTTTTATAAATGTTTGTTAATAACACTGCAGCAATCCATACATTACGAGTATACTAGATTAAAATTGCAGTGAGGAATGGGATCATTCATGATGCAATTTTAAGAAAACCAAGAATAATAATTTTAAAATGTTATAATAAAGTACTTTAATAATTCTATATTATAATAAAATGTATTTAATTAAAAACATTTTTAGTTAAATGTAACATTGAAATGAAAAATAATGAAAAACTTACTAAACAAGAAACAAAAAACAAAAAACAAAAAACAATGTGATGTTAAAATAATTATTAGTTCGTACAATAATATTATGCATGAAAATAAAAAGTACCGTGATGTTTTGATTGTTCTGAAACTTGAGTAAATCTATATTTGAACTGACGAGCTGCGTACATAGAAACTCGATTAGCTCTTTTTAAGTAATAACAAACATGGAAAAAACACCCCATATTATGTAATATTTACTCTGGGGAATTCAATGAATATTTACTCAAACACTTATTCCTTTCAAGRCAATAACCCGTGGTGCAGCATAGTACGAGTGTGTACTTTATAATGTATTATTGTAATTCCAAACGAATTTCGGCAACACACGTGGGAGTGTCGGTATTCCGACATTTTGGGTTACGGTGACTTATCGCAGAGAATATTTCATATACGTTTCTTTTCTTCGCATAAAAAGGTCGAAGGAAGAAAACACGTCTACAAACACAACTTTGGAAAATTCGAAGAAAAAAGAGCATTACGTAATAATATTCATTTTTTTTCTCGCCGCGGCTCGATGAAGAAAAATAAAAACGGTTGGTATTGAAAAAGCATCATGTCAAAATGATTGATACGACGACGTTTCAAGTCGTTCCGGTTTGATTGAAAGGGTTCGTCCGAGTGCGTACAGCAGTAGCAAGGCAGGTAGGTGAGTATAAGTATCATCACATTCCGGGAACAAATCGTCGAGACACGTGGGGGAGGTGGAGATTGTCTCCGCGAGGTCGCTTTCTCCTTATCCGGTGAAAATAGATTGACATGTTATAAATATACGATTGTGCGCGGTACCGTCTGAAACCGATCTTAGTGTAGACACAATCATATCTATAGATAAAATAATATTGTACATACAGCGAGAGAAGAAAAACAATTGAGCTATAATACTTTACAATATAAATAATGTTACGTAGTTCTACCATGGTCGTCGATTAATCACCGTATAGTGGCTGCGGAATAAACACATTATACTTTTTAGTGGACTATACGAGTGTGGAGACTTCGGAAAATGTATGAAGTTCTATAATTATTATACCTAGCCATTAAGTGTAGGTACAGCTTGTAGATAATATCCRGCCAAGTGCACGCTTTTCTAAGAACTGATCAAGAGCTCGCTCAAAGTAAAGTTTCATAAATTATAAATGTGCAGACAAGTCTCAAAGATTCAATTTATTAAAATTATATTTAAAAATGTTCAAGTATTATAGAGCTACCTTGTATTAAAAAAAAATTGTTGATTAAAATACATTTTATGAAAAAAACGCATTTAAAATTACAAATATTTCAGGTAATGTATTTTTATTCTTTTCTCAACGAAGTCGTCTATTTCAAAGTTTTATTATCTAATTAAGGAATAAAAATATTCCCACAAGTAACAAATTTCTGTTAAAATAGTTTAGTTATATTTTAATAAAAATTCCTGCATATTAAATGTTTGTTCATTTTTAAATTTACAATTTATTAATTGTATTTGTTATTAAGTCGTACTCAATTATAGTTACCTAGAATATACATATAYTTATGTGTCAAAACCTTCCTCAACGATTGAAGGTACAGACATTAAAAATTGGTTAAAATTATAAATATAAATATTTATTCTTATGTTTTCTATTTTTCTAGTATAATATTAAATGTAATGCTTATGGCCTCAAATGTCGAAGCAGAAATATCAAATAAACAACATAGCATTTATAATTTGTAGAGCAATAGATGATTTGATGAATAATGAATATTATATACTTAATTCAGTCAAAGTAATTTTTCTCGTGATGTTGACTTAAATTTATTGCATATGAATCGCAATAATTATGATTCATAGRGATAATAATTCGAAAATAAAATTTAAAAATTGCCATAGTCTTAAAATGTAAATTTATAGTGGTACATAAAATAATTAAAATGTATACTATTTACATTTTRTYAATAACCTAAATGTATGTACCTATATACATACCTATAGTGAAATCGGAATGTAATCAATTCGTAAACTATCACTTTTGTAATCAAATGTAGTTCAGTTTTGATAGATATTTACCAGCTTCGTTATTGTCTTCTGGTAATTTATAATCAACGAAGTATTCCCAGATTGAAATATTCCTTACACAATATTACGGCAACCAGCTGTATAGTGTATTTGCATAGCATAATTGTTAATACATTTTAAAATTCAGTTACCGACATTAAATTAATTGAAATGTATTAACGTACAAGATTTAATATATTGTCCTGTCGATTGTTGACTCTAAAAATGTACACATCAGTGCACTGTACAGTCCTTTTTAATATCGAAATGCATACGCAAATTAGGATGTTTGAACTTTTCATTCTCAATATCATTTAACTTGTTATCAATCAAAAAATGTCTTAAAATTATTCATAAATCGTCAGTCATTAATATCGTATGCTATAATACCTAAATGAATTGCATTTCGCTAGTTGTTAGACTTGATGCCCTGTCACATATGAATACGCGACTCATATAATATTACGAATTATTTCAACTAATGAACATATAGTTAATTAATTTAATAACTTAAGATAAATGTTGTACAAAAATAAGTGATTTATGATTTCACGTCTAACATCCACGACATTTTGCTTATGTATACCATTTAACAACATGTAACTACCAACCCATATTACATGACATTATTAAAAACCCTAYCCAAATTATAAATTCATAATAATATAACAATAATTATTAATTATATAACAAAAAAGTGGCTTTGCATCACCATYGATTATTGTACTAATTTATTGTAATGACTAATGAAGCATAATATTAAAATTTTTATTTGAAAAATGTTCTGGACAAATAACTTCCATGAAATATKWAAWTTATATGTTGCATATACTATATTAAGTATAATGTCCCAAAGAAAGTAAAATCGTGTTCCAAGTATTGTTTATTTTTATTTTTTGTTTGCATGGAAACGAACCTTAATAAAATATACGTATCAATATTATAATATGTAACCGACAACGGCGACAACATATAACATGATGACTCAAAAGAGTACATCAAATTTATSAAATTATGTTTGACACTAAGCCTGCRACTAAAACTAAATAATTCATGGTGTTTAAATTGCAATCCATTAAAATAAGTGTACGTTTCATTTATTTGTCGAAGTATATCATATAAATTCCGTACTGAACATTATTTTAGACCTTAGTCCCAAATTTGATGATTGACAAGCATCAGACACGAATTTCGCGACAGCCAAATACCTATATATTGTATTATTATTATTATTATTATTATTATATAAATACATGAAATTATTATCTGTTTGTGGAACAAGTAGTTAATAAGAATTAAGAAGACGTAACATTTCACATCTGTCGCTCGTACATTACGCACAAAAAAACCATGACAACGGGATCGACTGTCGCTTCACAAGCGCACGGTTGATACGATCCACGTATACATTAACGACGTTACCATATTATGACAAATACCTATTAATATTGAACTATAGTCAAATATGATTAAAATTCCGTTTGGTGATATTTGGCTGGGATCAATAGGAAGTACGTCCATTAACTACAGTTGGAAAAGTATTCGGTTARTTGTCACTCGTATAATGAAATACTCATAATATGGCTACATACATCATGCATCAATACAATAGTATATTATGTATAATACTGTTTATATTATACTGCTCTGCAGGGCAGTAAATCGAAAACTTACTATGCCTTAACCCAACGGCGGGAGTATCTACCAATATAATATATTATGTGATCTGTAATAGTATTTCTGCCGCTACACCTTATGCTAAGGTTAGGTCTATGGTTTTAAGTAATTATATAGGTACCCATGTCGAATATAATGAGAGTGTTGAGAAACAATTTCGATAAATTTAATCATACACACGTGCATGAATAATAATCATCTATCTATATTATTGACGAGGCTCGTTACAACAACGATTATCGGCATTTAACCCTCATTTGTTGTGTCGCTATTTCAACGATTATTATTAGGTATTATTACCATCATCATCATCATCATCATCTTCATTATTAATATAATACTCACGACGATGAAAATACGAAATCGAAAATATCCTGCATAGACCACATACCCATATAATATGAGCACGGCATGCTTGTATACGGTGTACCTATAATCAAAGTATATTATAATATTATGTTATATTTTACAAGCCAACGATGAGGATTCGTTTCGGACATCCGTCATCGGGTGAGAGAGTGTACATATATCTCTATAAATTATTATAATAATTGTTATACGAGCATATTATTTATCATAGGTAGGTATGTACCGTATATACCGTATATACATATATTATATAAATGGGTACACCGCCGCGTGCTCAGATTTCTCCGCTCCTGTTGCGGCGACGATGAATAATGTACGTTTCTTGCAYAGGTCGTTAAAAATCATTACATTTCATATTTTTAGACCGTAAGTGCGCACATATGTGTGTGTGTGTATGATACTGTTGCGGCGGAGATCCCTTAAACGGTATCGTTTACCACCGAGACGACGGCGGATAACCCTACAAATGATACGATAGAACGCCACCACCGAGCCACGTGCAACTTACTGTATAGCACCTCGTTAGCGGCGGCCGACCGTCTGTCTGTATATGATACTCGGCCTTACGATCATATTTTATTATGAATCATTCGTCATTATAATATCGTTTACGATATTATCATTGTTATTACTGTGATTGTTATGTCTGCATTATTACCTACCTATTGGTTTTGTTTCCGAAACGGTCGTCGCGGAACACATTATGTTTTATAGTAATGCATTATACGATCACTGTGCAGGCTTCCAGTGTACAAATTGTATTCGATTTTTCAASATCATAGTCGACATGTTCGTACACCACTAGACGTGATATAAGTATCCATATTTGTTATAATAGCTATAGCGATATATATATTTTTATATGTTTATAACGATCTACGTATTTTTATTGCCATCGCTAACGATAAACCACGAAATTACCAACCTATATAGAATATGTTAACACCTAGAGATTTTTTAAACACTATGTTTAAAAAAAAAAACAGTATCGACCGTGTTGGTTTAATTTTTTTAATTGTTTTTTAATTTATTAATTCTGCTTACTTTCGAAAAAAAACTGATGAAAATTAACCAACTCATGAATCATTATTTCCTCCCTAAAATTGTTTTATGTAGGTAAAAACGTTTTTTAAAAGTCTCGTATTTTATTCTTTACGTTTTTATATTTTGTATAGTATTTATAACGTCTCAATGCAAGAATTATGTTATTATATTAATTATTGACACATCCCGTCAACTGTCAAATTTACTTACAATTTACAGACATTTTTTTTTATCAATGCACTTCTGTTATTCTATGTTATATTGTGGCAAGCACAACACCTGCACCAATAAAACAAACTGAACAGTCGTATTTTGCGTCTCATATACAATAATATTGTAAACTTGTACAAGAGCGAACGTGATAAAAAAAAA